TTAAGGTTGGAAGGGACCTTAAAGATCATCAAGTTCCAACCCCCCTGCCATGAACAGGGAACCCTCCCACTAGACCAGGTTGTACAAAACCTTGTCCAGCCTGGCCTTAAAAACCTCCAAGGATGGGGCACCAACAACCTCCCTGGGCAACCCATTCCAGTTCCTCACCACCCTTGTAGTGAAGAATTTCTTCCTAATATCTAACCTAAATCTCCCCTCTCTCAGTTTAAAACCATTACCCCTTGTCCTATCACTATCTTCTCTGATGAAAAGCCCCTCCCCAGCTTTCCTGTAGGCACCTTTCAAGTACTGGAAGGTGCTAGAAGGTCTCATGCTGAGGGCTCCAGAACTGTACGCAGCACTCCAGATGGGGTCTCACCAGAGCAGAGGGGCAGAATCCCCTCCCTGGCCCTGCTGGCCACACTTCTTTTGATGCAGCCCAGGATGCAGTTGAGTCTCTTGGCTCCAGCGCTCTCTGGCGGCTCATGTTAAACTTCTCATCAACTACCACCCCCAAGTCCTGCTCCTCAGGCCTGCTCTCCAGCCATTCTTCCCCCAGCCTGTATTTATGCCTGGGGGTGCACCAACCCAAGTGCAGGACCTTGCACTTGGCCTTGTTGAACTTCATGAGGTTGGCACTGGCCCACCTCTCCAGCCTGTCAAGGTCCCTCTGGATGGCAGTGTCTTCTGGATGGCAATCTCTTCCCTCTAGGGTGTCAACCACAACACACAGCTTGGTATCATCAGCAAATGTGCTGAGAATACACTCAATCCCACTGTCCATGTCTCCAACAAAGATGTTAAACAGCACTGGTCCCAATACTGACCCATGAGGGACACCACTCACAGTCAGCAGAGTGTGGTTTCCTGGTTCTAGTTATTCTGTTGGCATCATCTGGGAGGAATGGGCAGACTATCAGAGGAGCTGTCACTGCACCAAGATCATGGTGCTTCAGCCAGTTACTCATGTGAGGAGTCTCTTGGGAATCCCTGGAGAGCAAATCTAGAACTGGCTCAGCTGAACAGAGAGAGAAGGCAATGGCTGTGCATGCCAACAGTGAACAATGTCGGTGCTATCTGAGCTTCATCATCTGGGATAGTGACCAAGCATACAAGGAGGGTTGGCTCTGTTTTGGGTGTAGGATTAATTGTGCTCCCCACAAACATCAACTGCTCCCAACTGGCTCCACAGGTGCTTTCCAAAGAAAGCAAAACCACAACAAACCCAAGCAAATCCAATTACCCTTTGTCTATAGACAGGCAAAGGAAGAAGGAGTAATTGGAGGGAAAGCCACCCACACAGAGCACTAATGAAGTGCAGTGGGTTAAGATCAGTGCAATCAGCTTCATTAGTCACACTGCCTCATTACCCTGATGAACATTGTCCTGTGTGAGATGCTGATGAGATCTTTATGCAGTGCTGTGCCAGCCAGGGCAGCTTTGTGTGTTCTTACTGCCCGGAATGGAAATTGATGCACAGAGAGAGAGAAGAAATCATCCTGCTAGAGAGGAGAAAAGGGTCATTAATTCTGCATTCTTCAGGCTCATCATCTCCTTGCAAAGCAAGGAGACAAACACCTGGACTGGACTAGTATATCTCAAGGCATAGAACACATTTTGGCAGCAGAAATGAATCCATATATGGGGACAGAGAGGGGAAGAACATTTTCCACTGCACACACATGGACCTGATCAACAGAGCCCAGCACATAGAGAAGGAAGCACATCATCAAAGGAAGAGCAGCACATATAGCCCTGTTGTAAGACATACATTTGTTGAACTGACTTAATCCTAGGCTTAATTGTCACTTTCAGCATCTTAGTACTGTTCTGGAGAACACTTCACCTTCACTTGGGGAAGGACTTGAGGATGTCTCCAACACTTTCTTATTCTACAATGGCAAATACTTAAAATGTGATTGCAGGGTGCAAAGGCTCGTATTTATGCATTAGTTCTTTACATTTACTTAAGATCCCATTTGCAGAGATGTTGCTGTCATTTTTTTAAGTTAGATGCTCTCAAGTCCACCAAGTGTGCTATGAGTTTTATCTCTTTCTTCAGAAGAGACAGAAGCACACCTATAGACTTCTCTCTTTTACAGGTGATGTGGTGACTCAAACACTAAATGTTCAATTTCTTTCACTGTGATGCAGTCAGGTAGGAGTTCACCTTCCCTTCTCAGGGATGTCTTGAATTACTTTATACCCATGTTTGGCCACTGGGCTTTCTCACATGAATAGAGAAGTCAAAATTGTGGGAGATGGAGTCAAAGATGATTTTAGGAAAGAGAGAAAAAGAGAAGGGAGGAAGGTAGGCAGGAAGTTAGGGCAGGAAGACAGTAAAGGAGGAAGACAGTAAGGGAGGGGGGAGGCAGAAACGTTGATCAACAGCAGCTGCATATGAGCCAGCATTGTACTACCCAGGTGGCCAAAAAGGACAACAGCATCCTAGCTTGTCCCCCTATACTGGACACTGCTGAGGCTTACCTTGAATCCTATGTTTAACTTCTGGGCCCTGCACTATAAGGAGATGGAGGTGCTGGACAGTGTCCAAATAAGGGTATGGAAGCTGCTGACGGGTCTAGAGCAGAAGTCTTGTGAGGAGTGACTGAGGGAACTGGGGGTGTGTAGTCTGGAGAAACGGAGGTTGAGGGAAGACCAGATCTCTCTCTACAACTATGTAAAGATGGTTGCAGTTAGGCGGGTGTTGGTCTTTTCTCCCTAATAAGTGATAAGACAAGAAGAATTGGCCTCAAGTTGTACCAGGGGAGGCTTAGATTGGATAGTAGAAGAAATTTCTCCACTGAAAGTATTGTCAGGCACTGGAAGAGGCTGTCTAGGGAGGCAGCTGAATCATCAGCCGTAGAGGTGTTGAAAATACATGTATATGTGGTGCTAAGGGACATAGTTAACACTGAACCCAGTAAAGTTAGGTTAGTGGTTGGACTTGTTTATCTTAAGGGTCTTTTCCAGCTAAAACAATTATATGATTCTATTATTTAGTTCAAGAAACAAATAATATTACCATTCCACCCCAGTTTTCTCATTACTAGGTTTACAAATGTTTAAACTTTAAACACTACATCTCCTCAGGGGCATATCTGTCTGAAAATCACAATTCAGCACTCTTATGGCAGCTAAACTTCTCTATCCCAGTGTCACAGTTTGACTTAGGTCTGACAACAATGCTCTCGATCCCCCATCCCCCCAACCCAGGTAGGGAAGGAGAGAGAGAAAAAGAGAGAGACTTGGCTGGATTGAGAACTAAACTACACAGCTTTAATTAAACACTAATGAATTATACAAGAAAATATATACAATTATATACAGATATATATATTCAGGTATGGGCAAAAACCTCTCGCCTCCCCCCACCCCAGCAACTCCCACAGCACTTCCCTGAACTGGGAAGAGTCCCGAGGAATCCCGGAGCTGCTGCTGGAGAAAGCAGAGAGTTATGGGGGTCAGGAGATCTCGAGCCTAAGGGTCGACGGTGATGGATGAACAGAGTCCTCCCCAGACACCGGCCATGGACGGAAGAGAAGGGAAGAAAAAGAAGGAAGGCAGTTGTCTTCTGTGATCTCTGCCCTTCCTTTCATCTTACGTAGCTATATGGAATGGAATATCTTTGGCCAATTTTGCTGTCTGTCTAACTCAGCCTCCTACGGGGGGGTCACAGATCTCCCCGTAGTGTCTGAGCCGGCAGAGTGCAGGTGCAGCCTTGAAGCTTCAGTAGTTAGAAAAAACATTCCACTGTCTTATCAGCCTAGCAGAAGACACTGTTGCTAGTTACAAGAAAGCTTACTGAAGGAAAAAAAATCAGTAAAAAGAAAAATTTGCTTTATCCTGGCTCAAACCAGGACACCCAGATTGTACCATAATCTTTACTAACCCAGACTACTCTTGGATCTACTCAATGAGTGACAAAACATCTTCAGAAAATGGGTGGTTTTGCCAGCTCTCTTAATCTCCAAGGTAGCTGCTCACCTTTGCTACTGGTTGAACCTGCAGACAGAAAAGTGGCAGCTGCATTCCTCAGACTAGTCAGAGATCCTGGGTCCCTGGGAACTGGCTGAGGCTGTTGGAGGACATGGCCACTCCTAATATCCCTTTACAATCCCTGCATTCATCTTGAATGAAGACCATTGTACATCAAGAAGTCAGTGCACCATAATGCACTGCACTGCACATCCAGGTCGTCTTCAGGTCTGTGTTGTGCTGTTGTGAAAGCTCATGGCTGCAGGATAAACTCAGCAGCTTATTTTAACAGAGGAGCCTATGAGTAGCTCCCACTTCGTACCAGCAATTATACCACCTGCATGGCCTTGCCTTTATCTAACAGAGAAGCAAGAAGTTCTTCTCTGATCATCCTTTCTGTTTGACAGTAGAAATTACAGATAGAACTGTTTTCTTTTTAAAAAATCATTTACTGAGTCAAATGACCAAAATGGGCCACTTCCATTGATGCGATGTACATGGCATGCTGCATGTTGATCAGAGGCCCATCTGATGTTTCATACCTTGAGGTTCCCAGTATCTGAAGGGATGCAGCTTTATGTCTACTATCCTGTTCTTTTTAGTGTTGGCTCTAATAAATAGCTTTCTAAATTATGTTTGCTATAGTCTGCCTCTGGCTTATTGAGATCATAATGATCAAGTGACTCCTGGTGCAAAACACACTTCTATGCTTCTCCCATATTACCGACTGATTTCACATCCACTGTCTTAGCTTTGCAGAGGAAACAAAAAGAATGAAGACGTAAACTGGGATTCCATAAATTGTCTGTATGTACCACAACCAGAGGATACTAGGAAAAACAAATTAAGTTTGATCTTCCTTTTAAAATGCCAGGTCTCAAACCAACTCCCTTATGACCACCCAGTTCCTTAACTCACAAGTGGTTTCTTTCATCTCACAATCAACCTTTTATTTGCACAGAAAGGGACATTGTTCTCATCTGCTCTCAGCTCAGAACCCTAAGATAAATGTTTACATAAACTTATAATTTTGACTTCTCACACACAAAATGTGCAGCAATGGGGATGTCTAGTGATAGTTTCTCTCTTACTGCAACAGAAATCTAGTTTAGAATACATAAACGGTCTTTTTATTTCTTCTATTTCACTCCATTCAATACTGGTGGAGAATTAGGGTCATCAGTCCAGCCATAGTTCTTTACATTTAAGATATTTAAATAAAGCAAGTCATTAATCCTTTGGGCCTTCAAAGAAATTTTCTTCACAAAATAGAACTGAAGAGCTCATCTGGGAAATATCTTCAACAGAACTGACCAGAAACCAATGTCTTAGTTATGTGTGGACTTCTTCTCATTAGGTCCATCATTCTCTGTTAATTTGTTGCCGTTATCACTGTACAGTAATGAAAGATGATCTGAAAAATCCCTCTAAAAAAAAAAAACCCAACAAACAAAAAAGGAAGCTACCACTAGATTTAATTTGATGTAGTTCATACACATATCACATATTTATATTTTTGGCTATCAGTCTTTTCAAGGCTTGTTTTACCTCTTTGTTCCTCAAACTGTAAATCAAGGGGTTCATCATTGGAGACATCAGTGTGTAAAAGAGAGAAAGCAATTTGTTTCTGCTGCTGGAATAAGAAGCTTTGGGTCTCAAGTAAGTCACAATGCCAGATCCATAAAACAGAGTGACCACGACCAGATGAGATGAGCAAGTAGAGAACGTTTTTCTCTTGTCCCCAGCTGATGGCATCTGGAAGATGGTGTGAAGTATCTTTACATAGGACACAGCTATGAATAAGAAAGGGGCCATGATGAAGAGGACAGCTACTATGTAGATGGTGATTTCATTGTTGTAGGTATCCACACAAGCCAATTTCAGCAGGGGTGGCAGGTCACAGAAGAAGTGATTGATCTTGTTGGGCCCACAATATGGAAGGGTAAAGATGAATGTTGTCTGCCCTAAGGCCACCAAGAACCCAGTAAGCCAAGATACAACTGCTAGCAGGAAGCACTTATCCCAGCTCATCATGGTCGTGTAGTGCAGGGGATGGCATATGGCAACATAGCGATCATAGGCCATGGCAGCCAGCAGACAACATTCTGTGATCCCAAAGAGGGTGAACATGTACATCTGTGTGGCACAGCCCAGAAATGATATGCCCTTCCTTTTTGTGAGGAAGTTCACCAGCATCTTGGGAATTGTAGATGTAGTGTAGCCAATCTCCAGGAAGGACAAGTTCTTGAGGAAAAAATACATGGGGGAGCAGAAGGTAGCATCTACCATAGTGATCATAATGATGAGGAAGTTTCCCACCAAAGTACTGAGGTACATGAACAATACCAGACAAAAGAGAGAGGCTTGGACCTCTGGGATGCTGGAGAAAGGTAAAAATTGGAAATAGGTCACCAGTGTGTAGTTCCAGCTGGTCATGTTCCTCTGAGTTTTTTTATGTTCAGAAATCATTGTATATCCATTGTGTAGCTAATCTAGAGATATAAAAATTAGTTAATTATGTGTTTATGCATATTGCTTTGTAATAGGACAAGATCCCAGAAGATAGTGGTATTTTACCACTGTGTTTTGGCATTTTTAGTGCTAAAGACTGTTTAGAGAAGGGAGGAGAGGTGGTTCCCCTCACACAACTTTTCATAAGTAAGAACAAATTTTCCAAATTAGTGTACTTCATTCCTAGTCAATGGAAAGTAAGGTAAGTCTTCTTTATGATGGTAGAATATTTCACTCTTCCTGCCTTTTAGGATGAAGATTGTACTCTATCACCCCAGTCTTTGAAGTGGACTTTTTTTCCACTATCTAGCTGAGATCTGCTACACTAACACCTGCTGCCAACCAAAGAAGGCTCATACTTAAAATCCACAAATTATTAATTTGTTGATAGAGCAGTTCTATAGGCAACGAGTCCCTTTTGTTACTATTCTGTGGATGGGTTCATTCTAGAAAAGAATCACCTACTAAACACAGATAACCCTGTATACACTCCAGACTATCACATGGTTAGTGCTATCTCTGTGTGTCTGAATTTCTATTCCACCTCACATTACATAAAAACAATAGTACAAATCTGCAAAAATAGGTAAAAATGAGAGCACATACTGCCTTTGATTTCTCCCCTCAGGGTTAGGTCAAGTTCAGCATAGTGTCAACAGACAAGAGGCAATAGGCCCAAACAGAAATAAAAGAAATTCCATTTTAAAATGAGAGGGGGTTTTTGGCTGTTTGGTTGTTGTTGGATGCTGAGTTTGGTCAAGACTGAAACAGAGTGCCCAGATTGTCTGTGGAGTCTGTCTTTGTACATACTCAAAATCTGGCGGGACACAGCCATGAACAATATGCTATAGCTGTCCCTGCTTTGAGTGGGGGTTTTCACTGGATGATCTCCATGAATCTTTTCCAACCAGAACGATTTTGTGATGCTGTATGCATGTGATTCTGCATGTGTGAAATCCATCCCAATCTCAACTGTTCCACAACTAATCGAAATGAAACTATTTACAGAATGGTACACATGCTATATTTCTTTCATAATTCACCCAAACAGTAGATGGAAGGTGTGGTGTTTGTTTTTTTTTTGTTTTACATTCACATTGAAGAGGACAGAAAAGCCTTTCTATTTAAAATAGCTGCTCTGATTTCATTTAACATAATTTGAATGGGATGGGGGACGTAACTTTCAGTTAGTAAGAAAAAAGCCAGACCCAGGGTGCACACACACATGCACACACAGACACACAGAGACACACAAAAAAGTCCAGACATTATAACCCCTTTCTATTAATAATCAGTTAATAAAAGTACTAAAGAGTGTGGATCAATCTCCAGGAGATCACCTTTGTCACAGGCACTCTTCAGGAGGAACAGTTCTTTTCAAGAATAAAAGTTGTCTTGGAATTTATTTTCTATTCCAATAATCCACTCACTTAATAGATAATGAGTCTCCCTTAAAGAGAAGCCTTGCATAGGTGATAGAAGAATAATAGCATAATGAAGAAGAGAAAGACAAAAATAAAATAAGGTGCCTCACCTGCTGTTAGGAGAAGGTTGTGGTTAATACTTTTCTAAAAGACACATTGCAAACCTGGAGTATTTCAATGTGTTTATGTTCCCAGTGGAAAATAGTCTGTTGGGTATTGATTGTTCAAAACTGTAGGAGACAGTTATTTTTTTCCTTATTGTTTAGGTATGACAAAATACTCCCTCAAGTTCTCCTGTTAGCTCCTGGAACTAACTGTAAAGAAAGACCTATAGGGCACTTGCACATCTGTTTTAACCTGTTATTTTTTAATCAGTCATTGTCTTGGGGCTGATCTCACCAAACTTTAGGGATAGAAATTTGGTATGGAAGTACACAATCTAGGCAAAGGAAAAAGGCTTTTCAGGAGGAGAGAATATGTGTATAGCTCATGTCTAACTATGGCTTTAAGCTCTCTAGTTAATTACAAGGGACAGGCCCCTCCATGGGAGAACTCATCATACCATCTCAGATTGGCCCTTCATATTGTTAAAAAATTGTCCTTTATGTATAATAATTTCTGTCTTTATTTGGGTGAATCATACTATGATTTCATTTCATTAAACAACACTTCTAAACTGTTAAAAAAACTAAACCTTATCATCCAGTAGACACTTACATTACATTAGATGATTCTTCCCTACAAAGTAACTTGCTCTCTGCTGTTCACAGAAAATGACCACAATGCAGAGGTCACTCTACAGTTGATAACTAAAGATAAGAGTGAGGAAAGACAGTCTCAAGGCCAGTGAAAGAAATTCAGACTGAATGACATCTCAATACTGGTGGTGTGGATATAAGCCAGTAATTCCAAAATTTCTGGAACAAACTGCTCTAGTGTTTGTCTGCACTTTGGTCAAAATCCACATAACACTAGAAGTGATTTTTTTCTGTATTGATTCAAATAACCAACACCCACTGACAAAAATCTAAGTTCATCATCTGAGCACTGTTCTGACCAGTAGAACTGGTGAGGGGTCAGGAGAAGAAGGGGAAGAGGTTCTCTGGTGTATGATTTATCTGAAATCTGGGTCTCCTCAGGTGAACTGTAGATGCATCACTAGCTCCTAAACGTGCAATGGTGCCCTAATCAGGATCAAATGAAGCCAAGCTAAAGTGATCTTAAATGTAGACCCTGGGCCTATGGGCAGAGGGTGTAGGTGGAGGCCTGAGGAGAGCCTGGACATTAAGGTCTATGAATGCACTTAAGGTCTTTGTAAGTTAGTTTGAAGTTTTATGATGTCCTTACAGATACCTACAAGGTTGTAGTAAGATACAGGTCATCTAAGTTTAGATGTCAAAGCAGATTACGAGAGAAAATCTTCTGAATGTAATTTTTAAACAACAAAAAAAAATACTTTCAGTTAAAAATTCAGTTGAAATTTCTGCAAAATAAAAGCGGAAAAATCAAGCTTAACATAGAGAAAGCATCTTATTCTACACTTGGTGTTGTCCCTTTTGCTTTTTCCCTGTTTATTAATTGTAAACTCAATAGAGTCAGGTCAATATTAGAAATTGATTAAATAGTCACCCTCATCACTAACTTCTATAACTCAAGATAAATAATCAGTAAACCATACATATATATCATATGCAGATTACATATGATTCTCTGGTTTGATCTAGTCATTTATTCTTATGTCTAGGAAGATTTATTTGGTAGGTTGGTTTTTCATCTTTTCTCTCCTCACTAAATTTGACCAGAAATGGTTTTCTCTACTTTCTCTATAGATTACATTAAACTTCTGTCTGTCTTTCCTTCCTTAGAGCCATAGGGTTTCCCCCCTCCTTCCCCACCCCGTCTTACCAGAACTAATTAGACTTAAATGTGAAATGTTTATTTTACCTCCCCGGCGCACCTGAGAGGGTTGTCAAGAGTCCAGCAAGTATTTCTGCTGCCTCTCTCACATCTAGAATCTAAGGTAACTAACACAGGCAGCTACTTAACTACCAGGATTGTCTGGAGCTGATTCTACCATGGTTCATCTGGGTGAAGGAGGTGACCTGCTAAATGCCAGGCTGCGTCACATACTATGAATACATAGACTACCATGTGTTCAATTTCATGTTTCAGCGTGTTAGTTGCTTTGTACTTGTACCAAGACTTGTACCAAGACAATGTGACCAATGAAGCGATACTCAGGTTGCTCAGGCAAGCTTCAAATCAAACAAACCTGGTCTCCAAAACCTGGGAGAGTTTACCCAGACATTTGCTGGAAGAACAACACTACAGTTCGCCTGACATCCATCAAGGTCCTGGACTGTGTAGAGGACTGCTTCCTCACAGCAATGTTGGATGTGCCAGCCAGGCATGGGGCACAGCTACTCACTAACCAAGAAATCATGCTCTGTGATATCTGGGTTAGTGACAGATTTGGGTGCAGTGACCACAAGATGGTGGAGTTTGGGATCCTGCTGAGCACAATGAAGGTTAATTCCAGGACAAAGGTTTTAGATTTTAGAAGAGCAAACTTCAGCTTGCTCAGGGCTCAGTTGGACGGGTTCCCATGGGAAGCTTCCCCAGAGGGTAAAGGAGCTAGTGAGTGCTGGGATTTTTTCAAGGACACTATCCTAGAAAACCAGCTCATCCTTTCTAAACGCAAGGGAAGTAGTTGGAGCAAGAGACCCCCTTGGCTTCATTGTGAGCTTCCGGGTCTGCTCAGAACTACAAGGGAAATGGACCAGAGGTGGAAGAGTGGAACATTACCTGTTGAAAATTACAAGGGCATTACCAGGGTATGCAGAGATGCAGTTACGAATATTGTTCCACTGTTAAACAGGAGAGGTGAACTAGTCACCAACAATGCTGAAAAGGCAGAGGTCCTCAACACCTTCTTCACCTTTATCTTTACCAGTACTGTTGGGTCCCAGGCCATAGGAGCAAAAGTCCAGGTTGATGCAGACCCCGACCTGCCGTCAGTGAAGGAAGAGTTGGTGTGTCAGCTATTACAGGAGCTTGACCCATACAAGTCAATGAGAGTGCTTTGAATGTATAGAACTCAATAACAGTGATGACAATGTGGAGTGTTTATGGGTAAAGATGAGGGGGAAGGCAAATAAGGCAGATATCCTGTTGAGAGTCTGCTACAGACCACCCAACCAGGATGAGGAAGCAGATGAAACATTATCAAGCAGCTGGCAGAAGTCTCAAAATTGCCAGCCCTAGTTCTGGTGGGGTACTTTAACCTACCGGACATCTGCTGGAACAACTCAGCCACAAGCAGGAAGGCTAGGAGGTTCCTCCAGTGTATGGAAGACAACTTCCGAACACTGGTAAGCGAGCCTACCATGGGAGGTGCCTTGCTGGACCTGCTGTTCACTAACAGGGAAGAAGTGGTAGGGGATGTGGAGGTCAGAGGCCATCTTGGGCTTAGCAACCATGAAATGGTTAAATTCTCAATAC